AATGTGTATATTCCTGCCAAAGGGTGCCAGTATGGGATTCCCAAATGATAGCAGCACGATGGCATGTCAAGTTGCCGCATTACTTTATGGTTCATTTTTAAATGAGGTAATACGAATCTTGTAAACACTTTTGATGACTTCGTGCTTTGTTTTCTTTATTTGTTCTCATTAGTACCATTATTAATGCGATATTAGAAGTGCTAGTTGCATTCCCTCCTCACAAATTTTTAACTCGTGAGGTAGAAGCTTTTGAGGGTTTTGATTGTTTGTTAGGAGTACTATTAACTATCGAAAATATGCACAGTTGTGATTGTTGCTGCACTGTTTTATAAATCCATGACTTGAAACAATGCACAAAGCAAGGTAGTGCTAAGAAGCTGGAGCTCATCAGCATAAAGTGCCCTCCTTCGTGGAGCATGTTAGGCCGACCCAAACGAGAGGCATGATACTGCATGTGACAAAAAAGACATTGGTGACAGTACAACATCTGATGCACTCTACATCTAAATGAAGTGTATACACATACAGCGAGTGCTTTGATAAATCTTGTGCTACATTATTATATATAAATCTTTTATAAATCTTGTGCTCTGAAATGGGAATTGTGGTTCACTATGCATATACTTTGATCTGTGAGGTTGGTGATTTGGGCTAGTTGGTATGGTAGCATGACAGTTGATGGTAGCGCAAACAAAGGAAATTGACAAAAGAAGCCACATTCAAGACAACACAGTGCTCTGCGTTGTCTTAAATGTGCCTTCTTTTACCGATGTCTTTTGTCTGCAAAGATGATAAAACACTGACAATGAACAGACTAGTGTAGTGAAAGATATAGCAACATATATCACAAGACTGCTGTTTCCTTCGACTAACTGTTAAAGTCAACACTGTATCAATTGTAAGAGTACAATAAAATGAGATTGTTTTTCGTTGACTGGAGCTCTTTCGAAAGTTAAAAAAATAATGAAGAGCTGCACATGAAAAACAGAAGTGGTTAAACATGAAAAAAAAATACAGAGAAGAACTCAGAAGGAAAAGTAAGGAGATTTCACACATTGTAGAAATCTATTTGATGCAAAATAGTCCATAATTATGATGCCTATGATGCAATATTTGGCATTGAGTCAAGTGTCATTGCATGAATGAATGTGTTTTGATAAACGTAGCAGTTTCGTGCTCATCAAGGACTTGCCAAGCACGTTAACTACACAGGAGTTCAAAGGGTAACTTATGGTCTGACACATCGGCACTAATCTTACAGCACAACCGCCAGTTTCATTACAACAAAGTGCATGTTATGGTAGGACAATGTGAAGATTGTTCATTAGCATATTCCTACATGGTTGAGCAACACTTGAATGTAGCTTGACGAGTCATATGAAATCTTTATTAGACTTACAAAAGTGGAGGCCACCCTGGAACCACTATTGCCATTACATTACTTACATTACTATTGGCATTGTTTACATAGTTTCGGAAGTTTTAATAAAAGTGGTGGTATTTTGAATATTATAGGATAAAGATTTTTGTTTAATATTCTAATACAGACGTTGAAAAATATCCTTCATGGCTACAGATCGCTTAAAATTTAAAGCTTGCGATGGAAGGTGTTTCAGTTCATGCAGTTGCACTTTATGCATACATGCAGTAATGCACTTTTAGTACAAAGCTGTCTGGGGCGCAAATTGTTTTTAAAAAAGAATACTTTCGCACCTACCATCCTTCATTCACTGGACAGTCGTTCTGTCAGATAGACTCATGGCGAGGAGAATGTCGGCCATCCTGAGAAAGATCCTTTGAACGGAGCTCTTCAAGCGGCTTGCCGCCTCTCTCGCGCTTGTTTTATTGGCTTCACACCAGCGCATACATAAGAAAAGTTAATTCCTAGAGAAGAAAAGAACGCTGGCCTGGATTATGACGCCGGGCGTTTGTTTTAAAAAAAAGTTCACGGCCAGAGAGCACAATTAAGCGCGTTATGCAAACGTAGCTTGATCTCACCAGATAAATGCGAGTTTCTGCAGATCGCGCGGGCACTCGCATGTGGTTGCTTGTTGTTGGCGAGCACGTGCGCGAAACACAAGTGCTCACAACAGACCGAAGGCGCCCACAACACAGTATTTCTTTTTAATTTTCCTACAGTACTTCCACTTCGTGATGTGCGGTACCTCGCCATTCCTCAATGGAGTCCAAACGCGTTTAGATATCTCGACAGGCAGGCGGCTCATAAGCCCTAATGTTCGGTGGTACAGTACCTTAACAGCATCACAGTCAAACTACAAACTAAAGTTGCAACACTTTCCGAACTGCTCCTACCAGAAACAAAGGTGCACGGAGCGTCGTGTTTCTCACATTGCCTTCCTTGAAGTGGCGACAACGCGCAGGCGCCGAACATGCCGGACGTAAAAATGCGCAGCCGGCGCGCACTGAGTTGTTTTTTTTCTCCATGTTTGGCCGGCGTGTTTCGCGGGCGCAACAGCGCGGCGGCGCAACCTGGAAACGAGAGTCTGGCGCGGAGGCCGTTGCTAGGCGCAACACGTGGCGCGTCCATGCGAGAGTGTGGCCAATAGCGTGCCGCTGCGGTTGCCATGCGTTGAGCCTACTGCAGATTACAAATGCGCCCCCGGGCGCGCATCCCTCTCCCCTCGGTAGCGTAGGTTCGCCGACGAACCTCCTCACATCGGCGGCCGAGCAACTCTAGAAAGTTCTCGATGGAAAGGGGCGTGGTGATGCAGGGTTGCGTCATCAGTCGCGGACGGCCCTCGTACCGTCTCGCGCTTTCCCCAGCCTTCGCTGCGTATCGCGCCGACGTAATGATGAGAATTTCCTGGAATCGCGCGCGGAAGGTATTTAACCGAGCAGCGGAGATGGGAGATCAGGAGAAGAAGGAAGTTAGCGCCAGTGTGCGTGGGGTTATTCCGCCGCGTCTGTCGGTGAAGGTTTTGTCCTTAGTGACAAAGCAGGAGAAGAAGAAAGTATGAGCCAGAGTGCGTAGGGTGTTCCGCCGTGTCGGCGAAGCCTTTTGTCTTCCGTGACAAAGGAGAAGAAGAGGATTTCCACCTGAGGGGTGAAGACTCGAGCTACAGGCAAGAGTGTGTGTCTACTGCTATCGAGCGAAGACGCGTGGCAACCGCTGCGTGTGTGAAGCCGACGTGTTACCGGCGAAGTTTAGAGCCTGGAGAGCGGCCAATTAAAGACGCGAGGTTTCTTGGAAGAGAAACTTCGGGGCAGCGGAACGACAACAACGCTGGACTTTGAGTGAGTGATTCTCAGAAGAGTATCATTCAGACTTTTGTTTCAAGAACTTTGGACTGAATAATTTTTTCAACTCTTTAGTCTTTAAGTGTCTTGGTTGTTCGATGCATGCGACTGCATTGTAGTGTGTGCTTGTTGTCTGTGTCCGTTGTTTCAAGTGTGGCTGATTGTACTGTGTAGTACGTTGTTTGATTGGTGACATATTGTATTCAACTATTGTCGAGTGTGCATACTTGTGTATCGATTTGATCTGCCGTAATTGATAATGTAATTTTGTTTTGTTTATCAACTCTCGGCTCTGACTTGTTCTTTGGGCCACAGCTGGCGTCCGCTGGCGCGCCAAATAGGACCACTTCTAAATTGTCCACGCTTTTGTGGTGCAGTTCGGGGGGCCGATATTTCGGTCCTTGGAATTAGCCCGGCGATCGCCTCCCTACTTAACGGGACCCGTGACACCTATACAGCCAGTAAACATAACCATTGCCCACATCTTTTGTCTCATGTACTGGCGCTTTTTGGCCATTATATGGCCCTTGCGCCACGAAACAGCATATTTCTTCTTCTTCTTCTTCTTCTTCTTCTTCTTCTTCTTCTTCTTCTTCTTCTTTTTCTTTTTCTTTTTCTTTTTCTTTTTCTTTTTCTTTTTCTTTTCTTCTTCTTCTTCTTCTTCTTCTTCTTCTTCTTCTTCTTCTTCTTCTTCTTCTTCTTCTTCTTCTTCTTCTTCTTCTTCTTCTTCTTCTTCTTCTTCTTCTTCTTCTTCTTCTTCTTCTTCTTCTTCTTCACCACCACTACCACCACCACCACCACCACCATTATCATGTCATCAGGGCTACTGCTAGTTCTTACATCATGGTCGTGGTTGTCGCGATACAGCGATGGCGTAGTAAAAATATCCGCGTGATGTTGGAATCGTGCGGATATTGCTATCTAAGATGTCCGCAGTTTTCTCGGTCTTTTCATACTTGCGACGTTGTGTGAACGTGTTTGCAAATGTCGCCCGTCCGCATTTACTAAATAAATATGTCCGGTTCTTCTGGAGCGTTGCGCAGGCTACGGCGCTCACCACACTAATGACGTGGCTGGTAGCACTTCCCCTTTTGGCCCATTTCGACGCTGCCGCCTCTACAGACGTCCACACCAATGCCAGCGGTCACAGAATTGGTGCTGTTTTGGTCCAGAATCTAAGCGGATGCGCTCGCGTTATCCCCTATTCCAGCCGTCCCCTCACTGCAGCGAAACCTAACTACTCAAACACCAAAAGGGACCCTGCTCTTGTTTGGGTGATAGGAAAAGTTCCGCCCTATTCATATGGCCCACATATTCCCGTCACAACCGATCACCACGCACTCTGCGGGCTCTTGTCCTTGAAGGACGCCTCTGGGCGTCTTGGTGGATGGGCATTTTGGTTCCTAGATTATAACTACTACAAGTCCTACAAATCTGGCAGCTTAAACTATGACGCTGGATACTGGTCCCGGCATTTAGTTAACGCACCTGTATGCCTTATTAAAATTGTGCCTCAAAAAGAAAAACCAGTTCTTTAATGTACACTTATATACGTCGACTTCTCAGCCCCCCTTCAACAAAACTTCTCGCTACGCCACCTATAGTTTGTCCATCTGTCTGTCGGACAGATGAACAAGACACCATAGCAACAAAAAGAGTCTGTTTCGTGAAATAAACAACGAGCCAATTTATTCGTTTATTGTCTTGATCGTGCGTGTTCCGAAACACGGCGGCAGCGACGATCCAAGGAAGTTGAGCACCGGCAAGGCGGGACAGTAGAGCTTGGGCCACGCTCCTGTAACGAGATCTGAAGCACGTCATTAGGAAAGAACGCAACAGGACGGACGCCTTCGACACCGCTACTTAAACAATGCGTGTGAATGTGCGAGTAGGTGCAGTGCGCGCAGAATTTTTTAACGTGTATGTGCGTCTGCTGATTTCAGCAGGCAACAGCGAGAACACTGCTGGCGCTCATCTCGAGCGCCTGCAGAAGTTCTTGCTTCTGTACCACATAATACGATGCTGCATTTTGTTCATGGAGGAAAGCACAATTTGGGACAAGACAGTGCAATGACTACAAGAAAGAAGGAAAAAAATCGGGCGTGTGCTTACTTAATACTGTCGGGACGATTGACACTGTTGAAGGGAGAGAACATTACAGCATCAGCAATCAATCCAACATAAATCAAATGGATCGCTGGTATTTGTGCGGTTGATACTAAGTGATACGTCCTGTCTTAGTACCCATAGTTGGATGGTCCCTACAAATTAACTGTACATGATGTAAAAAAATAGGCTGACTTCAAAAGAAAGCAGTTTGATTAATTCAAGCAACTTGCACGTAGTACTTTTAGGTGCAATCTGTATCAAACTTTATAGGTCGGTTTCACCACCAGACTTATGCACTAGAACGACGTTTGCCCAACTGCAACCCTTTAAGAAGCAGAAGAAGGTAATCGCTTCCTAAATATCATGCGTAATAGCAATGACTCTCAGTGTATCGGCTTAAATTTGGCGCCGGAAGCTCTGCAGTCAAGTGGAAACAAAGAACAGCCGCGCGCAACCTCACTGTTTATATCACTGGATTTTTTTTTTTTTGGCTTGAAACGAAAACTTTTCTGGGTGTAGATACTTATATACAAACTGGCAATAAGACGTTCGACATAATACGTTATAGGTTATACTATTTCTTGAACCGCAAACGAATCAGAAACTTGAGTCAAAACGCAGTTTTTTCTACGTTTCACACAGCTGTGCCACAAGATTTGTGTGTTCGTTTCACCTCCACTATATATTTTCATCGGATAGGGTGCGAACCAATAGTGCCCACAATGTCGACACTTGCTAATAGAGACCAACTGCGTATTAGAGAACACGTGATAAATGCTGCATTTGGAACGTTCTGTGGTGACCGAAAGTGGTGTGAATGCAAAGGAAAGAGATTAAACAATTGCATTCATATAACAAAAGCTCTAATATATAAAAAACAATAGTTATGGTTGACACCAGTATTATTTTGTTCGACACTAGTTCGCTTCCGTGAGCAACACTCGAAGCACCTTCATGGCATGCCTAGATTTTTTTTTCTTATACCACCGCTTCAACAACTACTTAAAATCACGTGTGCTAGCAAAAGCTCTAATATATAAAAAAACAATAGTTATGGTTGACACCAGTATTATTTTGTTCGACACTAGTTCGCTTCCGTGAGCAACACTCGAAGTGCCCTCACGGCATGCCTAGATTTTTTTTCTTATACCACCGCTTCAACAACTACTTAAAATCACGTGTGCTAGCAAAAGCTCTAATATATAAAAAAACAATAGTTATGGTTGACACCAGTATTATTTTGTTCGACACTAGTTCGCTTCCGTGAGCAACACTCGAAGTGCCCTCACGGCATGCCTAGATTTTTTTTCTTATACCACCGCTTCAACAACTACTTAAAATCACGTGTGCTAGCAAAGATTTTGAAACTTTTGTTTCAGTGGGATAGGAAATGGTTGAAGAAAAGTCAGTTTCGCCGCAAGGGTGATTGAATGATGAAGCAACGAATTGGGACGTCACACATGACCACGAAGCAACTGATTACTTTCCGCGTGGCGCTCAAACACAGAGCTCGCACGAAAAGAACATACCCCAGACTGGTCCAAACAGCTATCGCAGCTTTACGTTACACGTGCACTTGTATACATTCCGCACTGCTACAGCAAGCATACTTTTTCACAGTACCCACAATAAGGCTTTGAAGGCCTTTAAAAAGAATAGAGCCCACTTACAGTCTTCTGAGATCAGACCTAGGAGAATGGCGAACAGCGAGCCGCTGATGAAAAGGAGCAAGCCGCTTAACACAAGCACCATGGTCCGCTCCCGGATGTTGGTGATCGTCCTGCGTCAAAACAAGTGTTCGCAATGTCACTCACCCAGCCGGTTTTTGCCATGTTTCATTTTGCACAGCTCCCACAAGGACATGTAAGGATTCGCCTCAATGAGACTACGAACTAACGAAGATTAGATATGACATTAAGAAGCGTCATTCTCCTTGTAACGTAATGCAAAAGAAAAAAAAAACATGACTTTCCTCTATAACGTAGTCATAAGCACTAAAATATTTCATGTTCGAGCATGAAAACCAATGACTAGCCGATGCACCAAACCTTCAGTACAGTAGATGTTGATTATCTTGCCAGGCTCGCCATATTGTGATGAAAATTATTGAGGGACTATGTTTGTCACGCTTGTTTTGCGTGCCGTGCCAGGAGAAATGGACTGCGAGCGACGACGTGGTAACAACACATGACGTTTATGACAGAACACAGATAATAAACCCAGAATACAGGACCAGAAAAACTCTTAAGGCAACTAAGTAACAAGACTGTCTGACCGAATGTTTGTCGTGAGCTGTACGTTATGAGGAATAAAGAGCCGGAGCACAGGGGAATTGTCGTCTCGACGGGCGAAAACTTTGCCGTCCTTATCCCACACATGCTTCTGCCTGGTTGCGAGTGGTTCTTAATAAAGAGAAAGGAAGTGAAAAGTGAGCCCTGTTATTGTCTGCTTCAGTGAGCAACACCGCCACAGGGCTCACAAGGGATGGGGGTGAGGAGGGATAAAAAGGGTAGAAGTAAAGGTATAGAAAAGAGGAAGAAGAAGCAACAACAAACTGAGGGGATAGGAGAGACAGGAAAGATGGAAGCACGGTCACTGGAGTCCGAGGACGGGGTACACTTGCGAGAGATGTTGTCGGCGTCTGTAGATGGCGTAGAGCAGGTCCAGTAAGTCAGAGCTTCACTGTCGTCGAAGGTCGTCGGCGGCAGGAGGTGACGTAGGGCAATCCCAGTCGGCCAGAGCTACGGTGACGCCGAAGGTCGCAAGCGCGCGGAGCGCGCGGGCGCACAACCGGTCGGCACGAAATCCAGCGAGTGAGTGCCTTTTTTCTCGCTGACGGAGCGCCAAGTATCTGCTTGTTTTTCGGGGTGAGATGCTCGTTTTTCTACACGGCATGGTTTTTTTTACTATACCCTTGTAGCAGCAACAAAAATGACGTAACGTCTAATGTCGTTTGCAGCGAATGACATTACAGGTGATGCATGACAGAGGTATTAAGGACCGAAAAAAATAGCTTTGCTGGGTAGTCAAGTTCTTTCATTCCTTAACTTGGCAGCACTGCCTTTACCTACAGAAAACAGTTCATTACTTTTATTTTGTTTACACTGCAGTGACATAACCAAGCAGTTGGGCTTGTAATGCATTGTGATACGCAAGTTAGTTTGTTCCAGATGTCCACGTATATGTTTCAGCTGCGAAGAAAAAATCACCATTGGTACTCTCCTCTCTATTGTTGACTGCTTTGTTGTCACAAAATGACTGCATAATATTTGAGAAATATTCTCAGCCCCATAAATATTTACAGTGTTTGGAACATGTTTCTATTTTGCGATATCCCCCGTATGTGCAATCTGGACAAAGTATTTTCCTCGTCACAATGTCCAGGATATGTATATGTATGCATGTAAAAAAGGCATAAAGAAATATTATTAAGACTTATAAAATTCCCATAGACCCGACTGGTGATTCGAACCAGTGATCACTCACTCCATTTAACTAAGCGCCACGCACGCGCTGGCGTAATTACAGCGAGCTAGTTATATACATCATTTACTGCTTGTGGTACACAGATCCAATACTACTTCTTTTCAATTTGAAAGCTGCCCTTGAAACGCACACGAAAAAGTGACCCCATTCTATACCCACTCATGATGGGTAACTGAAAGAGGTCGCCTTGCGTCAGACGCATAAAATAAAAGTACCTAAGAGCATCTGGGTTCTGCGCTGTCGACACTTGCACGGCGATGCTCAAACACGAAGGCGAAACAACTTTGACAGTTGTTCACAGATGTCCTGTATATACCTGTGTGTTTTTTTCTGATGTCCGTCTTCGTGGTTCAGCGGGGCGTTGTAAGTTACGAGCTCTTGGTCGTTGTTCGTGTGACAATATAATTTTTCGCTGTCGCATCGTTGCTTTACCCTTGCGGTGAAACCAATTTTGGTGTCATATTGTGAAGCATGCGTGTTGAGGTTCTGAGTCCTCGCCGTTCCTTGTGCTACCAAGTAAAGCCGTTTTTCCTCCACAAACAATTCGATGAATTAAAGGTACTGGATTTGCCCAGCTTTCATAAAGTGTATTGTACCTACGGCTGCTCATAGTTGACACATTGTCACCACGTTAGCAAATACGAAGACACAAAGCGGGGCTCTTACTCTCGGCAAAATAGCTAACGCTAGAGCACACGGACACGGATCTTACGGTTGTCCTCCTTCGAGAGGCTGGCCGCAATTGTTACCACCTCCTTCTCCGGTGCCTGAGATTGCTATGATGAATGATGGCAGTGTGGAGGAAAAAAATAGCCACAGTAAAAATACTCACGGCACCAATATTTGTAAAAATAGCTATGTCCTCAATACCTCGAGCAGTTGATGACGAAGTTATAAAGTGGTAAATGATTCTGGCGCACTACACGTTAACAAATACTGACCTTGCTGCGCCTACAACAACCACAGTATTACACAGCCACTTACTAAACACAATGCCCACATATGTATCTGCTGAAATCTCACGGTTTGTTGTTTTTGTAACAATATTTACAGCACTCTCAAAGCTTTCACAATCCTGCGTACGAAAACTTTCAAGAGCCAGCAGTTTCTGTCAAATGTACAGCATCATGTTGTCTAATAGTTGCAGCTAGACGGACGCTTTGAAAGAAGTCGAACAGCAGCGGACTGCATCATTTCTCACCTGGAATACTGCAGGTTGCGCTGCGCGACAAGGCTACCTGTCGACCGCGACGTAGGGCGTCAGAGATCAATAATATTTCTGTAGGTGTGAAGCCTCACATTGGGACTGATTTCAACTTGGCTCACAAGAACATCAGCAACACAAGCCAACTTTGGCTTTGTATGTCTTGACGCTTCAATTTTTACCTCATTGAATTCGTTGAATTTAATTGATTTGTTATTTTTCAGTGGAACTATAGAAACTTCAAGGAGAGGAACAAACAGGCCCATTTTGTCTTAGTCTCGAAACCTTCGAACACCTGTGCGTCGTTGTTGCCCTTTAGAGAAGCCCGGCAACGTCGTGCGCCTCTCAGGTTATAACGCTCTTTAACGAACCTGTTCACCTGCCTTGTTGTACACGGAACCTTAACTGCGCAAGAGGTTCACCTTGAAATTTCAGTACCCTACTCGTGCATCATAACGTCATGGTCCTTGTCCTGCTCAGAAGCGACCCACCGGTGCACATCCTACTTATTATTAGCAAACATAAACTCAGAAACGTAACATTCAGTGATGTCTTCAGCGCAAAACACTCAAGATCGCTGGGCATTGCCCACTTATAATAGCGGACGCCCATCGTAGGCTTTCGGGCTATCGGAAGGAAGAGATGCGGAGAAGGAAACTTGCGGAGCTAACGTCCACGCGGGGCATCCCTCTTTACACCGACCCTGTGCGACCAACTCGTGTAGGTAACTGTTATTCGGATCACACGACTCCTACAACGTCCCATAATGGCTTACCTACCAAACTGGGAAGCCTTTCGGCAGTCCACCCCTGCATCTTCCATCCTACATATCTGTTATTTTCTGTGGGATCAATGTATGCTCCAAACAGTAAGACAGCACAAGACCACAATACAACTCACGGAGAGTCATCCGGATGTAGAGTCTAGCTTGCACCTATGGAAGGCCCGTCACAGCCTCAAAAAGTGATGGCGCCGGCAAAAACACAACCCTAAACTCCACATGTGGATACTGGATCTCATCCAGAAAGCAGCCGAATACGCTGCCCATTTTGCCGGCTCAAATTGGGTAGATCGCTGTAACACTTCCAGCAGGCAAACGTCTCGCTGCAATGCATGGAAACTCTTTCGCAGCCTAATTGATTCCCGCTCAAACGCGAGACAAAAGGCAGAAACATCTACACCGAGCTTTGCACAATTTCTACGGCTCCACGACGCAACAAGCGCTCTCACTACGGGGCTGATATATTTGCACTCAGTAGGACACGCAAGGCTCCGAGAATCACCATGCAGGCAAGGAGAACTCGGCACTGGATGCTCATTTCTGGTTGAGAATCAGAATTTTAATAATAAAGTTTGTGTACAATCACAGGAACTAAGTATACAGGAAAAGGTCCTGCACTCAAGAGACTGTATCGAGACCTCATGTACAAAACCAATATGTTAGTAAACACTTCATAGCAACAGTAGTGAATTGTATCTGTCAGACAAAAAATATAGTAGAAATGCGTACAAATGAGTGCATAAAATAGTATATTACTAACATATCAAGTCAGAGTGAAAAGTATTAGAAAAAGAAAAATCAAGCGATGCGAAAGTTTAATAGTTTTATCCAAAAAAACACTGAACAAAAACCACGCGCCAATAAAACAAACAGTAACTCTTATAGTTAGTCCACGTGGAGAAAATACATTTTAACCAGTTTTTTATTGGTGAAATGAGCTTGTAGTTTTTATGCTGCGTGGAATAGTGTTCTATAGTGAGATGGAAGTAAATTTTACAGTTTGCTTACCATAATTAACACGAATACTGAGTAAAAAATTTGTTGTTTAACGCCAATCACGTATTACTATAAATGATAAGATTATAAGTCAGAAAAATGGTCGACGGAAGTTAGTTAATATTAGGTCTATAAAAAACAATACCTACGTTGCATTTAGTGACTTCAGTAAGAGTAAGGATGTTATTATTGTGTAGTAGAACATCCTAGCAGCAGTTACACGACTTCCGCACCACTGCGCCCGTATCCATGCGGCCAAACACACGGTCAAAGCAAGGTAACGGTTGTAGATCGGCTGGCGACATGTGTGTTG